GAAGATCAAGGAAGAAATTAAAAACTTCCTGGAAACCAATGAAAATGAACACACAACACAAAATGTATGGGATGCAGCGAAAGCAGTTCTGAGAGGGAAGTTCATAGCACTACAGGCCTACCTCAAGAAACAGGAAAAATTCATAATAGGCTATGTAACCTCACAACTTAAAGAACTAGAAAGCAAACAAAAAGAAAACCCCAGAGCAAGTAGAAGGAAGGAAATAGTCAAGATCAGAGCAGAAATAAATGACATGGAGACAAAAAAAAAAAAACCCAATCCAAAGGATCAATGAAACCAAGAGCTGTTTCTTTGAAAAGATAAGCAAGATTGATGGATCCTTAGCTAGACTCACCAAGAAGCAAAGAGAGAGAACCGAAAATACAAAATCAGATATGAAAGAGGAGAAGTAACAACTGACAGCACAGAAATACAAAAGATCATTAACAACTACTATGAACAATTACATGGCAACACATTCAACAATCTAAGCGAAATGGACAAATTTATAGAAACACATAGTCTCTCAAAAGAGATAGAAAACTTGAACAGACCAATAACAACTAAGGAAACTGAAGAGGCAATCAAGATTCTTCCAGCAAACCAAAACTCAGGCCCAGATGGCTTCATGGGGGAGCTTTACCGCAGTCAAAAAAAAACTAACACCCATTCTCCTCAAACTATTTCAAAAATTCAAGAAGAAGGAAGACTTCCAAACTCATTTTGTGAGGCCAGCATAATTCTAATTCCAAAACCAGATAAAGACACTACAAAGAAAGAAAACTACAAGCCAATATCCCTGATGAACATAGATGCCAAAATCCTGAACAAAATACTGACAAATTGGATCCAGCAATACATCAAAAAAATGATGCACCATGACCAGGTGGGATTCATTCCAGGGATGCAAGGCGGGTACAATATTCTGAAATCAATAAATGTGATACACCACATAAACAAAATGAAGACTAAAAATCACATGATCATATCAATAGATGCAAAAAAAGCATTTGACAAAATCCAGCATCCATTTCTGATAAAAACGCTCGGCAATGTGGGAATAGAGGGATCAAATCTCGACATAATAAAGGTCATATATGAAAGACCTAGAGCCAACATCATACTCAATGGGCAGAAACTAAAAGTATTTCCCTTAAGAACAGGAACAAGACAGGAATGCCCATTTTCGCCACTCTTACTTAACATAGTACTGGAAGTCTTATCCACAGCAATCAGACAGGAAGAAAAGTAAAAGGGATCCAAATTGGAAAGGAGGAAGTGAAACTGTCATTATTTGCAGATGACATGATATTATACATAGGAAAACCTAAAGACTCCATCAAAAATCTACTAGACTTAATAAGTGAATTTGGTAAAGTAGCAGGATACAAAATTAACATCAAGAAATCAACGGCATTCTTATACATCAATGATGAACTCACAGAAAGAGAAACTGAAAAACAATCCCCTTTACCACCACGGCAAAAATATTAAGATACCTAGGAATAAACTTAACCCAAGAAGTAAAGCACCTATTTGCAGAAAACTACAGGACATTGAAAAAAGAAATAGAGGAAGATATAAAAAAGTGGAAGCACATACCTTGTTCATGGATTGGAAGAATTAACATCATTAAAATGTCCATACTACCCAAAGCAATCTATAGATTTAATGCAATCCCCATCAAAATACCAACAACGTATTCCACAGAACTAGAACAAATACTTCAAAAGTGCATATCGAGCCCTGGCCGGTTTGGCTCAGCGGTTAGAGCGTCGACCTGCGGTCCGGAGAGACCAGGTTCGGTTCCCGCTAAGGGCACGTACTTCGGTTGCAGTTTGTCCCAGGCCCTGGTTGGTCGTGCGGGTGGCAGCCACTCGATGTGTCCCTTCACGTCGATGTTTCTCTCTCTCTCTCCCTCCCACTCTATCTGTACAAAAAATGGAAAAATATCCTCGGGTGAGGATTAAAAAAAAAAAAAAAAAAAAAAAAAGTGCATATCGAACCAAAAAAGACCCTAAATAGCCACAGCAATCTTGAAAAAGAAGGACAAAGTAGGAGGGATCACAATACCAGATATCAGATTATACTACAAAGCTACTGTAATCAAAACAGCCTGGTACTGGAACAAGAACAGGCATATAGACCAGTGGAACAGAACAGAGAATCCAGAATTAGACCCAAGACAATATGCTCAATTAATATTTGACAAAGGGGACAAGAGCATAAAATGGAGTAAAGATAGCCTCTTTAATAAATGGTGTTAGGAAAACTGGACAGATACATGCAAAAAAAAAATGAAACTAGACCATCAACTTACAACATACACAAGAATAAACTCAAAATCGATAAAAGTGACCTGTGAATCCATAAAAATCCTAGAAGAAAATGTAGGCAACAAAATTTCGGACATCATACACAAGAGAATTTTCACTGATACATCATCACCTAAGACAACAGAAACAAAAAAGTAAATGAACACATGGGACTACATCAAACTAAAAAGCTTCTGCACAGCAAAAGAAACAACCATCAAAATGGAAAGGCAATCCACTGTATGGGAAAGCATCATTGCCAATGATACATCAGATAAGGGGTTAATTTCCAAATATATAGAGTACTCATACAACTCAACAGAAGGAAGACAAAGAACCCAATTAAAAAATGGTCAGAGGAGCTAGACACCTCTCTAAACAGGACATACAAATGGCCAAGAGACATATGAAGAAATGCTCAACATCAGTAATCATCAGAGAGATGCAAATTAAAACAACAATGAAGTATCACCTCACACCTGTCAGAATGGCTGCCATCAACAAATCATCAAACAACAAGTGTTGGCGAGGGTGTGGAGAAAAGAGGTCTCTAGTACCCTGGTGGTGGGAATGCAGACTGGTGCAGCCACTATGGAAAACACTATGACATTACCTCAAAAAATTAAAAATTGAACTGCCATTTGACCTAGTGATCCCACTTCTAGGAATATACCCTAAGAAGCCTGACATACCAACCAGAAAGAATATGTGTACCCCCATGTTCATAGCAGCACTCTTTACAATAGCTAAGATCTGGAAACAGCCCAAGTGTCCATCAGTAGACAAATGGATAAAAAAGCTGTCGTAGATATACACAATGGAGTACTATGCAGCTGTAAGAAAGAAAGATCTCCTTATCCTTTGAGACTACATGGAGGGACCTGGAAAGTATTATCCTAAGTGAAAGAAGCCAAGCATAAATAGATAAAAACCACATGATCTCACTTATTTGTGGAATATAATGAACACAACAGTCTGAGGAATGGAGCAGAGCCAGAGACGTGGAAGTAGGGTACAGACTGACAACCGTTAGAAGAAGGGGTAGGGGGGGGGGAGGAGAGATAAACCACAGAACTTATATGCATTTAAGTATATCCAATGGACACGGACACAAAGCCAGGGACAGGGTTGGGGGCATGGGGAAGAAGGTTATCAATGGGGAAAAAAGGAGAAACATGTGTAACAAAAATAAAATTAAAAATAAATAAAACAACAACAACAACATGTAGTGTACATACATAATGAAATGTTATTCAGCTGTGAGAAAGGTGGATATTCTACCATTTGTAACAACATGGATGGATCCTCAGCACATTGCGTTAAGTGAAGTAAGTCAGAAAAAGAAAAGTTTTGTATATCTTTGTGGAATCTAAAAAAATCAAGCTTATGAAAAACAGAGTAAAATGGTGGTTACCAGGAAATAGCGGGTGGGGGAGTAAGACTGATATTGTTTAAGGATACAAATTTGAAATGAGTAGTAAATAATTCAGAGATCTAATGTATAGAGCAGCAATTTTCCACTGGTATGCCATAGCACAGTGTGTCGAAAGAATTTTTAAATCATGCAGTACCTGATTATTTATTCAGGGGTGCTGACCTCTTTTCCCTTAGATTGTCAAATAAGAAAACGACATCAGCTAACACAACAATAGCTGTCCAGTGTGAATGAATCAAAATTATAGCTATGTTTTTTGTCAGGCAAAAAACAATATATTTTTTGGTATGCCGCAGAATTTTAGTAATTGTTTTATGTGTGCCATGAGATGAATTGCTGGCACAGAGTAATGAATATAGACAAAAATATTGCACTACAATTATGTAATGTGGTAAATATCACTACCATGGCAATGGTATTACAATATATAAATGTATCAAAGTAATACATTGTATACTTTAAATTTATACCATGTTTATGTCAAATATATTCAATTAAAAAAGTCAAATGAGCCCTGGCCAGTTTGGCTCAGCGGTTAGGGCATTGGCCTGCGGTCCAGCGAGACCCGGGTTCGGTTCCCGCTAAGGGCATGTACCTCATTTGCAGTTTGTCCCCGGCCTTGGTTGGGTTGTGTGGGTGGCAGCCACTCAATGTGTCCCTTTCACGTCGATGGATGTCTGTCTGTCTGTCTGTCTGTTTGTCTCTCTCTCGCCCTCCCTCCCACTCTATCTGAACAAAAAATGGAAAAATGTCCTCGGGTGAGGATAAAAAAAAAAAAGGTCAAATGAAAAAAATTATCTATCTTCTAGCAATAGTCAGTTAATTTGTCCACAAAAGGCTAATTCACGGTAATTCAACCTTATAAACAAACATGATTCAGTTTTCACCATATAGATAAAGTGAACAGTAGTTATCATGCAAGGCCTATATTTTAAATGAATAAATCCTTTTAGTCAAATAATTAGAATACCTAGAAAACGCAAATGTCTCTGAAATGAACGACTGATCTAGACAGAGCTAGGACTAGGTAACCACTAAGGTAATATAGTTGTGAATGGAGGTGTTGAAATATGAAGTTTTAATAGTAAAACAAAAGTGCATGAGTAAACTCCCAGTTTAAATAGGGCTATGATGCATAGGAAAAGCACTAGGAGTATACTCTGAGTGTATAACCTCTTTATGGAAACAATAAAAGCTAACTTTGCATGACCTCTGATGTTACTTTGAAAACATGTTGGCTGTTTTTTTACCTGACTCTAAGCCAAGCCTTTTCAAATCCTCTTGGTATGCTTTCAGGGCAGCTGCCTCCATTGCAGCAAACTCCTTTGATGCTTTTTCTTCTTCCTTTGCTTTATCCAGGCTTTTCTGTTTAATCTATGTAAGACACATATAAAAGTAAAAGCTAGATAAAGGACCGATATTTACATAGAACAACTGGCAAAGAAAGAAACAAACTAAATTACCTCACTGATCCTCTTTGCCACATTTTCCTTATGATTCTTTCCTCTTTCATGAAATTCAACACTCTGAAAAATGAAATAAAAGAAAATACAAAGGAAAACTACATATATTATCATAATGTTCACATTAAAGTAATAGTACATTTTGAAATGGAACATAACAAAATTAAAACTAAAATGACTGGCAGAGAAGATAAATAATTTTAATGCAAACTGGCCCTTTTTATAAAATGATGCTACAGAACTGAATTATATTATTTTTTATTATGCCTTCTGACTAGGTCTCCTTTGATGCTTAAAATAAAACTATGATTATCATATTAATGGAGAAAAATACGAGGTATACCTGATGACTAATCTAGTGACTACGATTGTAATGAGGACCCAAACAAGGCATGAATCCAAAAGAGGAGTGGAAAAAAAAAAAATCACAACTTCAAGAAACACCCCTCACTATACAATGTCAAAACCAGTAAGTCTCTAGAATTTATACCTCTCTATTTTCCACATTAGATAAAGGATAATAACCAATGATCCTTAGAACTTCATTCCTCCACATTAGGAGAAAAGTAGACATTAAAAATTTATCCTAGTCTGGCTGGTGTGGCTCAGTGGATTCAGTGTCATCCATGGACTTACAGGTCTGGGTTCGATTCCCAGTCAGGGTACATGTCCTGGTTGCAGGCTCAACCCCCAGTAGGGGGTGTGCAGGAGGCAGCTGATAGATGTTTCTATCTCCTTCTCCCCGAAAAAATCAGTAAGAACACCCTGGCAGGTTTGGCTCAGCGGTTAGAGCATCAGCCCTCGGACCAGAGACACCTAGGTTTGATTCCCACTAAGCCTTAGTGACTAAGGGCATGTATCTTGGTTGTAGTTTGTCCCCGGCCCTGGTTGGGGTTGTGTGGGTGGCAACCAGTCTATGTGTCTCTCTCACACTGATGTTTCTCTCTCTCTCTCTCCTTCCCTCTCTATCTGAAGATAAATACAAAAATGTCCTTGGGTGAGGATTAAAAAAATATATCAATAACAACATATTTAAAAAAATTTTATCCTAAATTATAAACAAATACTTTTATATAATGTGGTAATGATATAAAATGTGAAACCCCTATGCAGGACAATTTGGAATTATCTATCAAAATTAGACTGTTACATTAGAGAACAAAGAAGCTCCCTAAAAATTAATGTGGGGAGAGCTTCAGGATATACTGCTCAATTAAAAAAAATAATAAAACAACTATGATGCAGTATAGTGTATATAGTATGCTACCTTCATGTACGTTGGACTAAGAACCTCCATCTATATGCATATAGAAACAATAGGATAGACAAGAAAATGAAAAAGTAGTAACCTATGAGGCATGACAGTAACTTAGATGAATGAGGACAGAGGTGGATGAGCGAATGTTATTACCTATTTAAAACAGCCAGAAATGCTGCTTATCTTTGTATGCAATAGGAATTATGCAGTAAACTTGACAAAACAAGTTCTGTAAATCAAATCTTACACAATGTATTAACTGAGCTATTTTAAAGTACTATTGTGAATTCCTCTTTAAAAGAGTGACTTTTTAAAATCCTTACCCAAGGATATTTTTCCCTGATTTTCAGATGGGGGGGGGGCGCTTCGATGTGAGAGAGACACATTGATTGGACACATGGATTGGCTGCCTCCTGCCTGACCCAACTGGGGCTGGGGATTGAACCCGAGACTGGTCTATGGGCCGACGCTCTAAATGCAGAGCCAAACTGGCCAGAGCAAAGAAAGTGTTACTTTTTAAGGCAAATGTTCATCTTTTATTTTTCATGTATTACTTTTTCTAAAGTTGATTATTCCCCATAAAGACTGTTTATTATAGGCCAACTCAGAAATAAATTTTGTTTCTAATTAAAGGTTAAATTGGTGTGTATTAGCAATTCAAAGAGATGAAGAAAGACTATCCTAGAGAGATTATTTACTCTACATACATAAAATTCATTGAGCTGCTTGGGTAACTCTAAGGAAGAAACTATCAGTGATTTGGGTAGGTTTTAAAATCTGTGGCATTTATTTGTAAGAATGGCCTAAGTCAGTGGTTCTCAACCTGTGGGTTGCAACCCCTTTGGGAGTCGAACCACCCTTTCACAGGGGTCACCTAAGATATAACAGTAGCAAAATTACAGTTATGAAGTAGCAACAAAAATAATTTTATGGTTGGGGATCACCACAACATGAGGAACTGTATTAAAGGGTTGCGGCATTAGGAAGGTTGAGACACTAGCCTAAGTCAAACAAGATAGTCAAGAACTTTAGCAACTATTCAAAAAAACAAAAAATAAAACACAACCCAAAAGAAAAATATCCCCAAACACCCTATTATAGACTATAGTAAATAAATATCTACCAAACAAACACAGCATTGTTAGGTAGGGCTACTATTCTTTTGTGCATCCAACTCTACCATGTAAAAAGGATATGAATATGTAATATATTTTAAAAATACCCTAGCTTATATAGGTACACTACATACACACTACTATGACATGCATGAGATGGGTACAAAAAAAAATGGTGCTGCTTTTTATGTTGTTAATCCTCACTTGAGGATATTTTTCCACTGATTTTTTTTTTTTAATCCTCACCCGAGGACATTTTTTGTTCAGATAGAGCGGGAGGGAGAGAGAGAGGAAGAGAGAGAGAGATCGCGGGAGGGGGAGAGAGAGGGAGAGGAACACTGACGTGAAAGGGGCACACTGAGTGGCTGCCACCCGCACAACCTAACCAGGGACCAGGGCCGGGGGCAAACCGCACCCGAGGTACATGCCCTTAGCGGAACCGAACCCAGGCCTCTCTGACTGCAGGCCAACGCTCTAACCGCTGAGCCAAACCAGCCAGGGCTGGTGTTGTTGTTGTTTTTTATCCTCACCCGAGGACATTTTTGCATTTATCTTCAAAAAGAGCAGGAAGGAGAAGAGGCAGAAACACTGATATGAGAGAGATACATCGAGTGGTTGCCACCCACAAGACTGCAACCGGGGCCGGGGACAAACTGCAACAAGGTACATGCCCTTAGTGGGAACCAAACCCGGGACTCTCTGGTCCACAGGCCAACGCTCTAACCGCTGAGCAAACCAGCCAGGGCTCCACTGATTCTTTTAGAGAGAGTGTAAGGAAGGGAGAGGGGGAGAGTGACACATCAACTAGTTGCCTCCCACACTTGGTCTGGGATCAAACCTGCAACCCATGTATGTGCCCTTGACTGGGAATCTTGAACCTGAGATCCTTCAGTGCTCAGGCTGATGCTGTAACCACTGAACAACACCAGGCAGGGCTGTTCTATGTCTTAAAAGCTGAAACTAGACTAAGAAATACAGCAATATGATTTGTTTAATAGGGTTGCTATTTTCGCATTCCATAACAGATGATGTTCTTTCAAATTTAAGCATTTATAGACATAAAGCTCTGTACCAAATACACTTAATTATCTTGAGAGCAAAAAACATACAAGAAAAACTATAATGTTTCTTTTTACATATTTAGAGCTTTCCACTTTTCTTTTTATGTGACAGTGTTACAAACACCACCATTATAACTAGATGTTTCATAGACATGGATGAGATTACCCATATTCAATGTTCATTTCCTGAATTTGACTGAAAGTCCACAGTGAAATAACTGGGCTCTACACATATAACCAAATTTAGGCTGATGAAAAGGAAGAAGGCACACAAATTTTGTTTAACGAATGAAAAGACAACAGAAATCTTTCAGTGTTTTGAAAAATCTAGAGCAAGGTATATGAAAATGCTTTGTAAACTGAGTTTAGATTTAAAAAGGAACATATGTATAAATACATTAGAATCTCTAATAGTGGAATTGTCATACAGGCCTATTGTCCGCTATCCAGCACTTGCAGTAATCACAGAATTTCTTTGGTTGTGACTTCCAGTAGTCAGCCCTGAAAAGGGATAAACAAGTCTAAGCTTATTTATAATTTAAAAAGGTAAAATTCTGCATGCTTTACATCTGCCTAGAGTTTGAAACATAATCCTCCGCTAATGAATCTTGTCTTACATTCACAGCACCGTTTTCATCATTTGTCTGACTGAAGAGGCAGTCAACTGAAATTGTTGCCAGTCGAGTAGAAAAGTCTGCACCGGATTTAAAACTCCCTTAGATAAACCAGCTTAAAAAAAATGTTCCCGCCTCATTTGTTAATGTCATCAGTGTGAAGAAATAAGGACATCTTAGAGAAGATGTATCTTTTTCATTCCTTTCTGGTATTTTGAGGATTCCTGTAATGGAGGCCTGAAGAAACTCATCAAGTTTACTTTAAACCAAGTTACTTCCACCAAAAAGAACAAACAAAGCACAAGACTCCACTGGTGGGAGACTGCGGTTCCTCTGAGACCATCAGTTAATACAATTTGTTCTTGAGCCTCAGGCAAGAGACAGCAGGGAAAGCCAAGGGACCTCTCTGCTGGCAAGACGGGGAAAACCATTTCTCTAACCAGGCTAGCCGCTTCCAGCAGGCGGAGGAGCGCCGGTGGCCACAGTCCAGCCCTCAAGTTTCACAATACCCCAAGGCTCAAATCAAGCACCACAGAACCACAAGGCTGCTGGCGACCCCCGACAGGGGAGGCGAAGGGAGCACGTCGCTCGCGGGCGGCCATCCGACCCCAACAGGCTGCCAGCCTCCCTCCCGAGAGCCCGTCCGCCGTGCCCCAGGGCGCTCCGTGGGGTAGCATTTCCACCCCGCCCAGAGAACCGGCCAGGCCGGTCCGGAGCCGGTCCCGAGCGAGTTAAGAACGTGTCCGTCACGCCTCCAACCGAAGGGCGGGGGCGGCGGGGGCGGGGAGGGGGCTGGCGGTGGAGAGACCCGGCGGAGAAAGGGCGGCCCAGAGAAACAACACACCCTTGTTTCGAGCCTGAGACCCAACTCACATGACTGGACCAGCCGCTCCGCGCGTCGCCCCCGGGTCCGGCTCAAGCTCGCGTTCCCCACGCGGGGCGAGAAGCAGCCCAGCCGGCGTGAGGCCCACCCGAGCCCTCGAGCCCCTGCACCTCCCTCCTTCCCCTGGACCCGTTTCCCAGTTCCCAACTACGGGTGCCCCGATGACTCAATCCGCGCTCAAAATCTCCTCCTCCTCCCCTCCCCCTGCAGGGGCGGTACTCCCGACTCCTGAGAGGTGGGGTCGGTATAAAGGGGTTGAGGTCACCGAGCAGGGGCAAAAGCGCGACGGGACCTAAGCTGGAGGACCCTAACCTGAAGCCTCAAGTCCCCGCGTCATCCCGCCCTCTTTCTCTTGCCCTGGGCTCCAGAACCTCCACCCTTCTTCTAGGCTCGCTGGCTTGTGGCCAAGGAGCTCGCGCGCCGCCTCCGCCCCGCACGCAAACAGCTGTTCCCCGAGACGTCGCCGCCCTCAACTTTGCCAACTACTCCGCACGCACTTTGACCAGCGGAGCAACCCGGACCTGTGGGCTGGGGGCCGTTGGTGGAGTTTTAAAAAAAGAAGGTGAAACAGCTGGTTTCGGGGCTGCGAGTTGCTGGGGTTCGCCTCCGAACTTTCCTGAGGCGGCGGCGCGGCCGCGCTCCCCCTCCGCGACGCCCGCGCGCTGGGTCCGGGCTTGTTCCCTCGCTCCGAGCGCGTGGGCGGCGGGGGGAGCGGCTTGAGTGGCGCAGAAGCGGCGGCGGGAAGAGCGGCGAGAGGAGCGGCGAGCAGGCGGCGGCGGGCCGAGGCGCCTGTCAGGTGAGTCACCGCGGCGTGCTCAGCAGCACTTCCCATATGGTCTAGCGGTTAGGATTCCTGGTTTTCACCCAGGCGGCCCGGGTTCGACTCCCGGTATGGGAACGTTCAAGTTTTTAAAAATTTTTTTAGGCATGGGCAGCTAACTTATTTTATTTCCAACGACTGGCTCCTTTCACCGGTGAGTTTGTGGAAAACGAGCCTTCGTGAACTTTTTACTTGCGCCGTGAGCTGGGGTCACGAGTGCTGCGCAGGGCGGGCTGGCGGAGCGAGTGCGCTCGGGCTCCTTCTCCCGGCCGGCCGGCGGGGCTGAACCGCCGGGAAGAAGTTTCACTTTCCGTGGGGCTGCCTTCCCGCCGCCCCGGCCCCAGCCGCCCTCTCCAGGCGCTCGGGAGGTGATGATTAACTCCGGCCTCGCCTTCTCTCTCCCGGCGCGCCTCGGGCCCACACCCTCCTGGCCGCCGCCTCCGACGGTGCTGGGACGCGGGGCGTGTTCGCCCCCTGCCCCGGGTGCCGGCCCGCCGCCCTCCGAGACTCTCCGCCGGTGGGACGAGACGGCCTTCACCCCCATCACAAAGCAGCCCCCGGCGGGCGGGAGGTCCCGGCGCGGCGGTCGGCGAGCCCGGGGGGCGCGGGGGCGCGGTCCAGTCCGCGCGGCGGCCAGTCACCGTGGAACCAGCCGAGCGTCCGCCCGGGTGACCCGCGGCGCCCGAGCCGGCGAATTTGTCCCGACGAGACGTCGGGGGCGCTGGCAGCAGTTCAGACTCTTTTGCTCGGGAAGGCCTCAGGGGAAGGGAATCTTACCCCCCTCCTGGTTTTAGAAACTACACGCGCACGAGCTGCGGAGAAGAAGCATGCCACCACGATGAGATGTGTTGAAAAAAGAACACTGACTTTCCGAAGGGTCCAACCTTCTGAGCGCCCCTGGTAGAAAGTCCTGGGATGGAGGTGGGGCTTGGAAGAGAGGATATTGGCTGGAGACTGGGAAGGGGATGTTATAACAAAGTTTCACTGTATTTTTAAATATAGAAGCCTTGTGTTTATTACGAAGAAGGGGCAGCTGTGTCAGCAGCATGTGAGCTGTAAATGAAACAAAAGCGTTATCTTGAATGCAAGCTGAAATTAGAAAATGGGGTGAGCTATATAATGTTTAGTCTATTGTGCCTTTGGAAGCAAATGAAGAAGGGAAAAGTGGCTCTTGTGGAGGGTTTCTGGTCAGTGCTATTGCTAAGAACAGAAGTTTTGGGTGTTAGTATGTGAGTTCCCAAACTGTTTTATAGTTTTAACTGCACAGCGAGTTTTGAAAATAATTTGTTAATGGGATCTACATGATTAAGACTTCATTATGTTTACATTATAAATCAACCATCACAATTAAAAATATTTTAAATTATCTTTACTAATTCAAATATTTACTCTATATCAAGCATCATTAGATGCTTTTGAAAGTTACTGGTGTTCATTCCGTTTTTTCATGTTAGGAGATAGTGGATAGAATTGGGATTAGCTGTATGACTTGTGTAGATCTTTCACTTTCTCTGTGCTCTGGATTTAGAGCCATACATTCTTGATAGTACATAACACTCAAAAACTTTGTTGAACAGTTTTTAAATATGTTATGAGAGTGGAAAGTTTCACTTAAATAGTGGGATAGTGTGATTATTAAGAAGCCATTTACTAAACAATTATGTCTGAATTTGGAAGGAAGGAGGGAAAGACTGCCTTGCCTAATTGTCTCCAAAGAGGGCTTAATTCTTGACTTTGAATTTTGTAATTACTTGGTATCATATTTGTACCAAATGGTGCAAAAGTGGATGTAGTTTTTATTGAGCATCCACTAATTGCAAAAAACCTTACTCTGTTTGTACTTGAGGATATGCTGAGGGGAGTAGTTTGGTGACAGTGTTCCTGTCCAAGATGCAGACTCATATAGTTGTGTGCCAGGCAGCAGCATCTGAGTTTGTGGAAGTGCTGCAGGAGCACAGAGGTAAGAAATCACTTCCACTCAGGGAAGAGGACTGGAGGAGTGACATGGAAGGGAGAGTGTTTGCCCTGGACCTTGAAGAAGAACTGATTGGATTTCTTCGAGTGGGGGAATGTCAATAAAAAGCTGAGGTTAGCCTGGCTGGTGTAGCACAGTGGTTGAGCCACCAGGAAGTCGCTGGTTCGATTCCCAGGCACGTCCTGAGTTGTGGGCCAGATCCGCAATGGGGGAAATGCAGGAGGCGGCCAATCGATGTTCTCTCTCATCAATGTTTCTATCTCTCCCTCCCCTCCTCTCTCTCTAAAAAAATCAATAAAGGGAAAAAAATTTTTTAAAGCTGAAGTAAGGTAACAAGTATGAGGCTGGCAAGTAGTCTGGTTCTGCAGGAGCACACAGTGCCTGGACAGAGCGCCATAGGAAATGAAGCTAGGACTGGATAACAAATTCTTCTTTTTCTTTTAGAGAGAGAGACAGACAGACAAACATTGACTGGTTGCCTCTCGCATGACCCCTGACCAGGGCTGGTGACTGAACTGAAACCAAGGTACGTGCCCTTGACTGGAATTGAACCTGAGGCTCCTTGGGCTGACGCTCTAACTAGCTGAGCCAAACTAGCCAGGGTGATACAGGTTCTTTTATCAAAGGTGTGACATTTATGTCACTAGAGTTTTAAGAACATTTTTGTCTCTTTGAAGAAACAGAAATGTAGCAGTAATATGTGAAATGCTTGTTTTTACATGGAACCAGACATATCTGGGGGGGGGGGGAATGTGGAAACAAGAAGAGATAAACCAAAGAAAATACATACTTACATGCATAGCCCATGGACATAGACAGTAGTGTGGTGAAGGCTGGGGGAGAGGCAGGGGCTGGGGGAGGGGGAATGGAGGACACCTATAATACTGTCAATCATAAAAATATATACATATATATCAACAACAACAAATATATATATGCTTTTTTTGTTGTTAATCCTCAGCTAAGGATATTTTTCCTTTTTTTTTGTTTTTTTAGATAGAGTGGAAGGCAGGGCAGGAGAGAGACACACATTGGTTGGCTGCCTCCCACATGACCCCAGGGTATGTGCCCTTGACAGAGAATTGAACTCATAGCCCTTTGGTCCATAGGCTGTAACTGCTGAGCCAAACCAGCCAGGGTACAAATATAAATGTAAATATGAATATAAATATATATACACACATACATATATATATAAAAGAAAATGCTTGTTTTAAAAAATTCAAATAGTATAAAAACATGTAGAATATTTTGCGCCCATAGGTTTTATGTTTAGCAATTGAATATTAATTTTTAATTAGTAGAATGGGGAAAAGCATTTAACTAATTAGAATTCAATGAAAAAAATGAAGTCTCGGTTTAAATTATGAGAATGGTTGCAACTATGTTTTTGTTGGCTTGCTTTCTTGAAAATGAACTTAATATTCTAAGAGCTGCTAGTTACTCAGTCAGGCATCCACCTTAAATTGATTAAGACTAGATAATAAATTTGTAAGGATTCATTCACATGCTTGTAATTCAAATGCATGACTAACAAAATACCATCGATACTCATGTTCTAGGTGTTCTGTCTTGGGCCATAGAGTGATAACTAATTAAATGGCAAGGATTTACCCAGATAGTCTCTTTAATATTTACTACTATTCATTGTAATTACAAGATATGTAAAAGTTCAACAAGTGTTTGAATAGATGGACACTTGTATTTAAAGAAATACAAGGTATTAAAAAAATGAAGATGGCATTTTAAAATCCAAAGCCTTACTGTGGTCTCTGAGGTCTAAGATTATCTGGCCTCTGCTTACCTACCCAACTTCATCTCCTACCTTCTCTGTCTCTGCATTATACTTCAGCCACACCAGCTTCCTTTTTCTTCCTCGAACTTGCCAGACTTGTTCTTTTCTCGGTTTTATATCTTGCTGTTTCCATTGCCTGGAATATTGTACCTCCAGCTCTTCACATTTAGGTCAACATTATCTTCTCAGACAGGCATTTTCTGACCATCTTAGCTAGAGACTCCCTTTTGTTTTTTTTTCCCCTCACCCGAGGACATTTTTCCATTTTTTGTTCAGATAGAGTGGGAGGGAGAGAGTGGAAGGGGGGGGGCATCATCGTGAAGGGGACACATTGACTGGCTGCCACCCGCAGGACCAACCAGGGCCAGGGTCAAACTGCAACCGAGGTACACGCCCTTAACGGGAACCGAACCTGGGTCTCTCTGGACCGCAGGCCAACGCTCTAACCACTTA